AACAGCTTGACATTGTTTGGTATGCCGCGTCTCTTCTCAATATCGCCATCTGTCTCGGTCGCTGGGGTCTCGTCGTTCTCGGCGGAGGTCTCTGCGGGTTTCGATGCCTCTTCGGAGTCTTCCTGGGTGCTTGGTTGCGTCTCTGAGGGTTCCTCTGCGTCTCCGTTCTGCTGCGCTGGCGCTGATTCGGGTTCGGCGGCCTTCTTTTCCTTTGCTATCCGCATTTGCTCCATGAGTTGTGCTATTGACTCCTCTTCCGTCTTCTTGCGCTGCTCTGGGCTTTCCGACTCGGCTTCTCTTTGCGCGTACGACGACAATCGATCCATGAGGCCGACTACGATGGCTTTGACATTTACGTGGGGATTCAGGCGTGCGACGGCGGAGAGGAACTGGTCGAGCGTGTGCAGGTGGAATTCGTCCGGGAAGACCTGGGTGACAACTGCCGCGGGTTAGTGATATCCTGAGATCGGCAATCCGATACATACCCTCGAGGAGGTATTCCTGGGCCAAGACATCGCGACATTGCACAATCTGCTCCAGCAGCGGGTTGAGGATCTTCTTGTAGTTGTCCAAGTCGACCAGCTGGCTGAGCCTGACCAGGTTGCTGCCCACGAGGAGCTGCAGTTCCTGGCGCTCCTTGGTCCGCTGCTCGCGCTCCCTGGAATGACCCTGGTGCTGCAGGCGCACCCACAGCTTGTTCATCTCGACAAAGTTGGTCAGGATGAAGCTGATGGAGTCCTGGAGATTGCCCTCGGGCCCCTCGCTGTCGCCCGACGGGAGGCAGTCGCGAGCCTGGCCGGCCAGATAGTAGCGCAGGAAGAGGCCGCGGATGGGGTGCTGGACGCCGCGACTCATCTCCATCATGTCCTTCATGATCTCCTTGACGGGGGCATCCTCAATGGCCATGTAGACGGTGCCGACGGTGACCATGAGGTACAGGCGCGGGATGATGTTGCCGGCATACTGGACGAGTTCGTAGAGGTCGGCGAGGTGGTTGACGGGGTGGTTCTCGCGCAGGTAGACGGAGAGATGGCGCAGGGCATCGAAGACGGCCATGTACAGCTCGTAGTACTGCTTGGGGCCGAGGCTGCTGGTGCGCAGTTCCGACACGAGGGTCGAGCTATCATGGGGGTCATTAGCATACACACATGTTATACGTAGGGAGTGCGCGTACCTGCACTTGAGCGCATCCATCAGCTTGCCCGGCGTCTCGAGGCAGCGCCGCATGAGCATCGTCTGCTGGCGCACCACGGCCAGGGCATCTTCGAGCAGCCGGGCCTGGTCTTCTACGGGGGGCGGCGACGCCATTGTGAGCGAGAGAGGCGGATCGTCCGGGGGTGTGGAGAGCTCGTCGTGGATACGCACCGCCGCCTTGGGTGTAACCGTTCGCCAAGCACGCAGGGATGCAAGCTCCCCTTCGACCTGCGTCATCACAGCATCCACCACCATCACTCTGCCATGTCAAAACTTGGGCTTGTGCATGCATCTATTATTTAATCTATTGGTACATCGGTATTCGTCTCACAGACGTGTCTAATCTTCATAATATAACTCCTCGCCGTACTAGGCTGGCTTCCGGCCATTATTCGTATATCGTAAAACACAGGGAGAAAGGAACAGGCGGGTCGAGCCAGTCTGCCGCCAAAGCAAAAACACCAAAGAAGCCTGGACCGCAGACATCACGCAGCTAGCTATGGTGCCGGAGTGACAGCTGCAGCGGCTTCGAACGTCTTCACGCGGTAATGCGTGTGCCACATGCCATCATCATAGTACTCCGTGGGGCCATTGTCTGGCGATAGCGTGACCGTGACGAAGATTGGCTTCGGCGTCTCGACTGGCGTTGAGATGCTGCTGGAAGACAAGCTCGAGATCGTCGGTGTTGCAGTTGATGTTGCTGAAGGTACCGATGGGCTAGGAGTTGATGTACTTTTGACGGATGATGTTGATGGTGATGTGGGTGTTGGCGTGGGAATCGACGAAGCCGGTGTAGGTGTTGACGATGACGACGACTTCAAGACGCTGCTTGAGCTGCAGCTAGATGACGACGCGGGCGCCGGTTGAGGCTGGACGACAGTCGCAGTGACCTCTTGGGTGACAGTCTGTGCCGGACCGACGACTTCGACCGTCTTCGTCGTCTTGATCACCGAAGTGGCTGTTGCGACCGGGGTCGAGGCGTCTCCGCCGACATTGACAACCGAATAGCTCTTGTTGCGTGGGACAATCTCGCGGGGCTTTGACGGGTCCAAAGGCCGTCCGGTAGCCAGTGTCGAGAAAAAAGCGGCCAGTGCCAGAGTCTGAGCGTTGAGAAGCATGGTATCGAAAGGATTGGGATGGTTTATTGACTGCGCCGTTGATAGTCGTGTACACGTGTTGAGCACGGCTTCAGTGTGGGTATGCGCTGGCAGAGGACAGTGTGGGAACCACGATGTAGGTATCCGTTTATTAGATCCATAGCTGCTGTCGTGCTGCGCAATTTCTCGAGGGCTGGAAATGTGGTGGTTGGGTGATGGCTGGTCGTGCACGGACCACGGCTCCTGCGACGCGAAGCTGGCAGACGCGACAGGCTGGACTCATCCAAACTCTTGACCGTCAAAAACTTGGAACTTTGCGACCCATGTAGCATGTTGTTATCTGTCGCATCACATGTCAATGTCGGGTAATCGATACAATTATAACGTTAATTAGTTCAGCGCTGTCCAAAGGCCCCGTTACCCGGCATCTCCTGCGGCGGCCTCTGGTTCAGCGCCATTTCCTGAGGATCCCGCGTTCCCTGCGCTTCGACCATTGGACCACCCTGGAACTGGTTCCCATACGGATTCGCGTTCATCTCTTGGTAGTGTTGTGACTGGTAATGAGGCTGCTTGTCCTGAGCCTCGACCTCACTCCTGTATGCCATGCCGTCCACTTCCTGGCCCTGCCTCATCCAGGACTGCGGCGGATCCGTCTGTTGCATCCTCGGTTGCATCAGAGCCGATTGTATTTGCGCCTGCTGGTTGATCTGTCGCGAGCGTTTCTTGCTATGTCGTCGGAAAGCCCAAAAACCCAGGCCGGCGAAGAGAAGAAACAGTCCTACTCCGACACCCACACCAATGCCGATCATCCTTTGTTGCGCGTCGACGGCTTTGTCTGATTTGATGTCAGTCAAGTTAAACGGCTGCAAATTCGGAGGTCGGACTCACCGAAGGTGTCTTTCATATCATTTCGGCTGGCATCTGGCGTCATATTAGAGACTCAAATGTGTGAGGGAGGCAGGCATACTGACCGAAATCGCTACTTGGATTAGACATACAGACTAAGCTTCCGGATGAGTCTCTTTCGCAATCTGAAATCGATACTGAAGTTGGGAAGGACATGAAGAAGGGATGGGTATAATCCCTTGATATACAATTCCGCTCTGACGTATACTTATTGATCCTGTGTCAAGGAAATGCAGTAAGCACTAACTATGTATGCGAGACGATCTACTCGTTCTACTTATATCACAACACAGTGATGGCAACACAGGGCTATGTGCATCCATCTCTCGTTGGAGTAGCACTGAGCTAGCTGCTTCAGGAAAAGTGCATGCACGCGAGGAACCGCCCCGCCAACCGGTAAGGCTGATTGGCAGACTCACAAGATGCGGAGCACGCTCAGCCTCGTCACATCGGACGCCTTAGCTGGCAGGAAGATCTATATCCTCTTTTGGAGTGCGCTACAACGATCGTTTTCAGGATTGTCGCCCAGCACTACGGTAAACTCGGATCTATCCTTACCATATATCACTGCTCACTTCGCGTGTTCCGATGGTCATGCACAGTGGCAACAGCGATGGAGGAGCGACTGGGAAACGTGCTTCATTCAATACTGTTAATAAAATTCTCAGAAAAGACATTCAGACCCCACGGAACTCTGGCAAATCCTCATCTCGCACCCGTACCTGTCGCACATGGCCTTCACCTTTAGCCTCTTCAGCCGAGAACTCTCGTGGTTCAGCCTCGTCCAAAGCCCTTGTTTTCACACTCCTGCTAAACTTCTTGCTCCACCACCGCGCAATGCCTCGTCCTTCAAGCTTCACTGTTGCTCTCTCCTGTCCGTCCGATTCTGCCTTGTATCCACCTATCGGAACATCGCGTTCAGTAACAACAAGGTCGCTTGCGGAGGACTGATGAGTAGAGCTGCGTCTTCCAAGTAGGAAGGCGGCGACTGCGATGAGAAGAACCCCAAGTATGGCTCCGATGCTGATGCCGGCGATTGCCCCGCTCGATAAGCCTGTGTTGGGAGAGGTTGAAGCTGGCGGAATGGTGTTTGGTGGTGGAAATGCGGATGAGGAAGGTGTCACTGAAGATTGTGTAGCTGGGATTGTTGTTGCAACGGATGTTGAAGAGGAAGTATAGGATGAGGAAGAGAAGACAACGGTGATCGGGAAGGTCTCTAGAGTCGAGCTGAACCTCTGCGTCGTGACAAGCGACACCGGAGGTGTTGTAGAAGATGGAACAACCGCCAGGGGAAGCGTCGTGATGAACGCGGAGAGAAAGAGGGACATATTCTTGTAATACAGGAATCTGGAGCCACGTTTGCCTGAACGCGCGCAGTAAACAAGATACCGACGAGTTTGGAGTTGCCTCGTCGATGCACACAATAAGAACGGACGAGGAGATGAAGAGACTGGCAAGGCGCAAGTCGAGAGGATAACCATATCTCCCTCGGACGGCCCCCACACCACTCCAGCCGTTCACTTCAGCCGACTACTACACTTCTTCCTATCATTGGTGACGCCAGTCTCATAAAAGCGACAGAACCTCAGCCTTTGGACAGCCAGGGACCGGATCTAGTAATGCCTAGCGAGACCTCACCAATGAGGTGCTCTCTCGGATAAGATGTTGGAAGAATTATTCATCGGGGTTGAGCTTGGCAGCCTGATGTCTTCAGCCTTATGCATCCCGAAATACTGCTGGCGGGCGAAAGTCATAGGAAAAAGATGAGATGCCTCTCTTCTGATAGCAGTCATAAGCCTCTACCTACTCGGCTGGCTTCGCCAGTCCGTTCGCCATACTCGGCTTCGGATTTCCCTCAAAGCTCTTCGCATGTTTCCAGCCCGCTTCCAAAGAACTCGCAAAGAGCCGTGTAGTACCCCAGACATCGAATTGCACTGCGATACCTCGCATACCAGTTTGGATAGCCATGGGTATCTGATCCAGCCCCATCACACCACTAAAGCATCCGTCAGCCGTCTGGTCCAACATGAAGTAACATGCGATATACGTACCCAAAGATAGGCAGGTCATACTTGGCAGCCGCTGCATTGAATGTGCCCATGGCTTCGAAGAATTTCGGATCGGGGTTTCCGTTCATGAATGAATGGATGTCCATGCCAGCGTCAATCATGTAATCGCCAGGACCAAACATGAGACCAGAGATGCCTTCAACGGCGGCAATTTCCTCGCAGGCCTCAAGGCCCTTTAGAGATTCGATCTGGGGTATGAGACAGACGTGATTGTTGGCGGTTTGGACGTTGTAAGGGTCGTTGGGGTAGAGAGACCGAGTTAAACCTGGTGTGAATGTCCACGGGCTGAACGAACGATGGCCTTTACCACCTAGACGTGCTGGGTTAGTATAGATGGCGAGGGTCAAGATGCGGGGGACAAACCGCCAAAGTACATCTCCTTGATGAAGTCGCGGACTTCTTGCGCACTCTCCACATGTGGGATGACGATGCCGGCGCATCCTGCATCGAGGGCGGTAGTGAGACTCAGCTCATCATGCTTGGGTACGCGGCAGATGACCATTGATTTACCCTCGGAATGATGCTGAGCGGCGTGAATGCAACTTTATCGTGAAGGTTAGCGTTGGTTTCTTATACACATTCAAGTTCTCAAAGTCTTGTCGCAATTGGATCGAAGAGAACTTACTCGTGCAACGTCAACCGGTTGTACATGCCGTGCTCAACATCCATCCAGATGAAATCCGGCTTGGTGGAGGCAATCAACTTGGTCACGAAGGTGCTTGGGATACCTTGCGCGATGCCCATGAGGGTCTTGCTCGCATCTGCCTGGGCGTCTTTGAGTGCTTGTTTGAGGTTTGCCGGTTGCGTGAGCATAGCGGCACGGTAGGGTGCTTTGGCGTGGAGCTCGGGCTGCTCGCTGTACGGCTTGAAGTCTGCCATCTTGGATGATGTGTTCAGCGTAGTGAACGTGGGACGTATTGGGAGTGCAGGAAGATCGTGAGAGACTTTAAAAGGTTGAAGCTTGTATGTTCTGGTTCAATTGCTGACTGTGATGTGCAAAGAATACTCAGTCTTTATACCTGCTGAGTATATCTCCACATCTTATCATGCGTGAGTAAGCGGTAGTACCGTGTAGTCGCACCCGCATGTTTCGGAGCAGCCATGACTGCTGCCTTGATAGGGCGAAAAGTCGTCCGGTCTAGATACACAACTGGGCAACGTCGAGGATGACGGTGGCCTCGCCTGGTTAGCGCTTATTACCGAAGACTTCTTGCGCTGACGATGCTATGCGTTAACACAGTGCTAATCCCGCTCCATCATAAGATTGTCGTGAGATGCGCGCTACGGAAAGACCGACGACCTTTCGCACTAGCCTGCACAGGTGCGTACTGCGCAGCGTGTCAACATTGCACGTCTGAACGGATCATAGAGGTTTCGACGAACAATAATGGTCTTCTTTCTTGATGAGTGATTTTGGTTTCTTCATTACTATCGTAAGTGCTGACGCCGAGCAATTGTGGACAGTTGCAATCTACCGTGCTGCATGGAAGCGATCATGCAGGTGTTGTGTAACACATGCAATTCGGCCGAATGATGTCCCGAAACGCAGTGACATAAGTGAACAATCTGCTTTGTATACTACAGAGTGTCCGATAATCGTACTCAAGTAGGATTAGACCGTGGTGTATGGGGCTTTCACGTAGTATCATGACACGCAGCCTTGCGTTACCCAACGGTGATAACAGTTAACTCCGAACATCCATCAAACAGGGTATCGAACTTCCGGCCGTGACGCTCTCGTCTCATCTGAACAATTTTTTTGAAAGGTTATAAGAACATTCCAGGTCTTAACGCCGAAGGTAACCTTGGAATGTAAAATGTCCTCTGACCCGGTCCCACCCGGGCGGTGTAGACGTGTGCGAATGGATAAAGTATTCACAGAAAGGTGTCGTAGAACATTAAATGTAGTGCCGATAAACTCATCTTAACGTTGTGGTATTCGAATAGACTGGCGAGGGATGTACGACTATCGATGGGTGGGCGCATTGACACTCTGGCGACGCTGGCCGAGCAATATATGTGCTTGAATACAAGCTCGGGGATTGAACTGATATCTCTCTTGTCGCTTGCTTGATAGCACCCTTTTCCGCGTCGTCAATCTCTACACTCTTCTTCTCCATCTCTTCTGGTGCCATGAGGCCAGTGTTCTTCTTTTGCTTCATACGCTTTGGTATGTCCAAGATGAGAGACGTAACGACAATGAGGGCTAGCAGGCCTGCTACACCACCGACAGCGATGATGGCGACGACACTGGTGGAAAGACCGCCGAGTTTACCTGACGGTCCTGACATTGTGATCGAAAGATGGTGGTTGGCGTTGGCTGAGGTGTGGTTGACCGATGCTGTAGAGGGCTGTGACAGTGATTGGAAGAGGTTTATATGAATGTACGTCAACGTGGTATGTCGTCCAGCTAATTGCGATAGAGAAAAACGAGTGTGAGCGTATTTGTAGCGCCTGGAGGATGCAGTTACACCTCAACACCATCGCGGCGCTCCAGTCTCCTTATACAAACCAGCACACCACCTTGTCATCCATTTCCCCAAGCAAAGAAGCGAGCAAAGTTTCCCATGTCGAGCCATTCTAGCCTTTCAAGAATCCACATTGTGCTGAAACTTCAGCTGGTGGCTTTCTCATCGAACAAATGCAGCAACGCTACAACTTTCCTGAGGCCAGCAACGCAAGCCACGAGACTTGGCATCATGGGCCTGATGTTTTGTCTCGTCAGCGGATGAGCTTCCGTGCGAGTGAGAATAGTCGAATGTCCCAAGCGGCACTCTTCGCCGCGTGGGCTGATTTGCTTAGGGGTGCTAGGGCTGAACGCTAACGCGATGAGGTGTTTTGGGCTTGATGGCTGTATCGAATTCAGAGCGCCTTTATTTTCACCGGATGAGTGCGCTCGAAGCGAGAGATGTGTTGTGCAGCGCATCGGTTAGCGGCACCTCAGACCGGTACCTGACGAGATCCTTCGTGTTTTCTTTTCTAAAAGCTCTTTTGGTCAATCTGGAAGTTGCATGGCGTCCTGTGGTGGCGTGCTGGCCAGCGCAGCGCTCAGGTATGTGTAGAACAAGGACCCGAACTCAGATGCAAGCGATGACAGAACAGCATGACTGACCAGTGCGTTGTTTTGTCCACGCGCCGATGTTGTTATGAGAAGTTTGTCGGCGCGGCCGAGATGCCGCTGAAGGATTGATGAGTGACAGCTAGCAGCCACTTAGCGTCGTTAGCGCCTGCCTGACTCCACGTTTTTCGGTTGCAGCCGCGGCAGTGTTCAGCTGGGACATGGGCTTCGCTTCACACAGTCACAACGTGGAGATTTGCACCATCATTACTCGCACGTTGACCCTGCTACCAGATCTACGGGCTCCCGGTACTTTTGAGGTTGCTGCTTTCCTCGCCAGGAAAGCGAGCTCGAGCCCATGAGACAACTTTGGAAACTTTCGGCTTCACCTAGCAAGAGATTGCGCCGATAGAGGTTCATACTACTGACATACTATCTCGAAGCCGCTGTCGCACACCAGGACGCGAGACACAATATGCGCCCCCAAACGTTCGGATGCTACTCGATCGTCGATCGTTGGTATCGTTCTCGGAGCTGGCACCCCCGCCTTGCGATTAAACGAAGCGTCATTGTAGTCAGCTTTCCGGCACGTAAGCGATGGGCATACTTCCTCCAGGCCTAGAATCGTGGGATTTTTTCGAAGCATGCCAATGTACGGTGTAAGCCATGCAAGAGACAGGAAACATGTAGCCGTCTTTTTCCAGGTATCGCTCAGAACCGCCACGCTTTTCTTTTCCCACCTGGCCAGGCATTTTCTACCCCGCAATCTCCCCAGCTTCTGCTTACTCCGCAGATGCAAACAGGTAGGAAATAAGAACAAATGATGGCCATGACTGCGGATTCGACATTCTTTATTGTGTACAGCCAGGTCCACCTACGAACATGTCCTGGTAGAAGCGAGACTTTCAATTGCCGAGCTAGAGGCAACAACATGACTGTCTGCTCTAACTCTTTCGGAGAATTATTTCAATGCGAACTTGACAAGAATGAAGGTGTATCACTCCAGCGGGCGCCTCTTTATACCTTGTTGAATCGTGTAGGGGCTACTTCCGCTCAAATCCAGAAATTGAGCCCAGAGAAAGATGTGAGCAAAGGGGAAAGACATGTCTTCCAATATGGCCTGTTTTGGCAGCTCATGACCCAAATCACGAATTGAATCGAAACATTTGACTCCGTATCTGATCATCCAGTGGCACGCGACTGCCAATTCGATATTGTAGCGACCTCGATATCAAACCATGGGCACTTCTAGGGAAGATTTTGGAAAGAGGATTTGGCCTGCTCCATGCTTATTAAGGCGTTTGATCCAGGGAACGAGCCAGCCTATTCAACAATGTAGAAAAGACGATCTAGCAAGACGGCGAAGATTTTGTACTCAAGTCCGAAGACCGTCATAGGCACGTGGCAAACGTAGTTCCGCTCAAACATGCCGCTTTAGTTTCAGATCTTTATACAAAGGCAGTACGATCAAGTCTCTGGATCATCTGCCAGCGTATCTCGCGTTTTGCTCCAGCTCGTCCGCTCGGGTAGTGCACACTAGGCAACAGATGAGGAACGGCTTTCTCCGAACAAAGTACCTGTACTCCCTCAGTCGAAAGAGCGACAGGATCTCTCTCCATTCTTCTATGCTTGCTATGTTTGAGAGACTGCACATGACGTGTTGGTAAAGATATTTAAGCTTTCCTTGAGAGATAGAGTGAGAAGTATTGAAGTTGTGTATCGCATGAACAGTCATGCATCTGCTCGAAACTTGCTTCGATTCCAAAGCTCACATGTAGGGTACGAGGAAAGCTTTTGGAGGCTTGCGGGACAACAACAGAACCATAACTTTACTATAGTCATCTTTAAGAGAAGAAGCGCCATGCTATGTATTGTGGCTTTTTAGAAAAAGATTCCCGAGGAAACAGACATCCACTTGAGCAGGTAGTTTTTTGGATACCCGGAGACGATGAGTATGATGGTATGAGTTGGGTATCGAGCAGGCAAGCGACTTATATATCACTCACACCAAACTCTATTCCTCTTCGGATGTAGTTCGATATCGTCCTTCATAACTAACTGCCAGCTTTTACATGAAGCATTGAACACTTGTAAACACTGCGACATGCAACGAAGACCATAGACTCAGAAGCTCAGTGTTTTGAAGTCTGCATCACACTTCCCATCGGTTTTTCGAGAATATGCAGAGGCATCCATAAACCGGAGGAGGTATTTCAATTCGCTTTTGAGCAACGGTATGCGATGGGAGATAACCGATGGAGTGTATACGGTATCTGACATTTCAGACCGCGAAGAAGAGCGAGAGGGTAGACATGAGTATCGGGTTGCGCTTTTTTGGAAATGGTAGATGGTGAACTCATCACTCTGTCGCATGTACTTTTGATGCTTTGACACTTTCAAGACCAGCGACACAGTCGGCAGTCATATTAAAATCCGGCATGAACTTCATTCCAATTCAAATAAAAATAAAAATCAGAGAGGCCCGAGTCTATGCACTGGTAGGATTGCAGATCTTTTAGGGAATCACACAACCATCCATGTACGACTGCTTGAAACAAAAGAAGAAGGACATCGGTACGTGGCACTCTGTTTTTTAGGCACGCACAGAAGAACAGACCGACGCCTAGGCCGCCTTTTGAGATATTGAGAGCGTGGATAAGAAGCCATCATATAGAGTACGGTGAATGTTTTTGGAAAGCAGCAGAATTCTCACCGACACCTGGGCATCATCCAAGCGAGTGGCATTTTGTTATGTTCATAAGGATGGCGAAATAAGGGAGGACGATAATTGAAGCAGAAGAGCACAGAGAATAGACTTTATATAGACGTGGACAGAGTCAGGCTAGCACAAGCACGTGAAAAAGTGGCCCAACAAACAGCCTCTTAGCTAGCGATGATGACGAAGGTCACCAAACAGAGATAAATATGACACCCATATGAGAAAGCCGAGGCCCGGCACTAGATACGAGATATATCCCCGACCCAGTAATGTTATGCAGCCAGTCTTTCGCTACGCCCAAACACCGCGGAAATGCAACTTTGCTGTACATATACACACATATCTTAGCCGAGCCGGTCGCTCGCGCGGTTCAATATATCCGCCGTCTTCTTGATGGCTTTGGATGCAGCATCCCAGTCTTTCTTCTCGATTGCTTCACGTGCGAAAGGGAAGACGCTGGCTTCGAGGCCGTTGTTGAGGTCGGGGGCGAATACGACGTGTTTGTATTGATCGCGGTTGGGCAACTGTCTGTGTGTTAGTTACTGATAACCATATTTATGGCGGAGGCGAGAAACTTACACCATGCGGCCCCTTGTCGTCCTTTCCCCTCGCGAGATCAAGCAAGTCTGTTTCGAAACCTGCGATCCTCCCATTGTGGCCTACCCTTTGTATTGTGACACCGCTACTTTCGAAGCCACCAGTGGCATAGACTTGGTTATACCAGCTTTGTTCCCACCGACCGAACGTCTCTGCTTTCTTCTTGAACATGCTCAGACTGTCGACTAGAGGTTGGAACATCTCAATGTCGTACTCGCCACCACCGCTTTTCTTCTCGGTCCAGTCCAACAACTGCTGGCCTTCTTCCTGCAGAGCGCGGGCGTAGTCATCAATCTTCATAGGAATGATGGGCTCTTGAGCGAGCTCGAGGATGAGAAGAACCCAGAGTTGGGCGAGCACGGCGTGGTAAGCGAAACCGGGGTCGATGTATTTGCGCATCCAGGAGAGAGTCTCGTAGCAGCTGCGCGCAATGGGGTTTGATTGACCCTCTTTGCTGGTGAAGCCGAAGTCGAGTGAGGAGGTACCAGCAATGGATTGGAAAGCAACGTAGTCGCTTCCAGCAGCTAGGTTACCAATTTTGGAGTCCGAGGTCTCCCACAGCTCCTTCATAGTCTTGTTCTCCCGGGGGTCGGAAAGTCGGTCGAGCACGCGCGTCCAGGCGTGTTGGAAGATCGGAGAGCCTTTGGCCCACAGCTTGTCACCCGTTACACCTACGTCGACATTCAGGTAGGCGATGGCGCTATCTCGAAGGGCTTGTACGTTGGCTTCAACATGCTCGGTAGAGCCGATTCTGTTGTATTCACCAGCGTCCCAGGACGCAAATTCGATTGTGCGGAGCGGTCGCCATCCTTGCGAGCGCAACTCGCCTAGTACACGTACAACTTCGAGCATGACAGCCGTGCCAGAGCCAGGGTCTGCCGCACCGAAACACCAGGAATCGCGGTGGTTGCCGATTA